GCTGGTGGGTGGGGGGTGTCTCTGAATCACGCTGCACCAGCCCCACTCAGGGACAGGCGTGGATCCGGACACATGCCTGAGTCAGGCTCTGTGAGGCAGGAGGGCTGTAGCGTTTGCACTGTTCTTGGGGCACCGCTCCCTCCCGCCCCGGGAATGCTGCCTGCCCTGGGAGGGTGAGCAACGCGGACCTGGCTCCATATTCCCCAGTACACACACACACACACACACACACACACACACACACACACACACACGTGCATACACAGTGCACACACACTCCATGAACACAGAGACACATGTGCATGTGCACACACAGTACACAAACACGCGCACACACTGCACATACACAAACACACTAGCATGCACGCACATGCCACAGACAACAGAGCATGCACTCGCCGGCACACAGTCTGTGCACATTCACACAAGCATGCACAGCAAGCACAATCTGAATGTGCGCACACGCACCCATGCACCTGCACACACACACTACAGAGACACACACACAGCATGTTCACACACACACACACACACAGCATGTTCACACACACACACACACACAGCATGTTCACACACACACACACACACAGCCCAGGAGGGTAGCAGGTGGCTGGTGGAAGCTGTCACCTGCATGGGCTGGATTTGGAAACACACACACACACACACACACACGCACAGCCCAGGAGGGTGGCAGGTGGCTGGTGGAAGCTGTCAGAGTGTTAGCTCACCTGCATGGGCTGGATTTGGAAACGAAGGCTCTTTCTAAACCCTACCGACACTTCCCAGGGCTGTGCAAGACCCGTCTGTGTCCGGGGTCTTGTCTCACCGCTCAGGAAGACGGGTGAGAACACCCCCTACCTGTGGGTGATCCTGCCAAGTCCTCGCTAGTTCCTCAGAGCACCGCTGTGACTCACACGGCTCCGCGCATGGGTCAGGAACAGCCCTGCCTTCTTGGCTTGGTACAGTGGGGCCGGCTATAAATCAACAGCCCCAAATCCCGGCAGAGTCTCCACATGGCTGGCAGGCCCTAGGGACTCCAGTGTTTACTGAAAGCAAAATGCCTCTCTGCAGACTAACGGGCTGAGGAGAAATTAACCCTTTTTTTCTCCTCAGGGGCTGGGAATTCCTCTGCTGGGAGACCTGGTAGCAGGCCCTCCGCTCACCCCGTCCTCTGCAGGATCCCTAAAAGCCCTCTGCTGAAAGGGAACAGTGACTCAGGGAAAGAACAGAACATCTTCAGATCCTGTCAGACCATGTGCCCCCAAGAGTACCACAGGAGTTGGCCAAGACACCCCCTGAGCTATTTTAGACAACTCTTGGGCACTGTGGGACTGGAAAAGAGCCCCGTGCTGTGCCAGTGTTTGAGAGAGGTACACGAGATGCACAGATAATGGTACCACGCACCAGCCGCTGTAGTTTGAGCAGATAACCCAAGCACTGTGGAGAAGCTCATTACAGCTTGAACCTCACTAATCCAGCACTCTCAGGGTATGTCTAGACTGCATCCCTCTGTCGGCAGAGGGATGCAGATTAGGCAGGTTGACATTGCAAATGAGGCAGGGATTTAAATATTCCATGCCTAATTTGCATAAAAATGGCCACCGCGTTTTGCCGACTCAGCACTTTGTCTAGAAAGCGGCCGTCTAGAGGGGGATCTGTGGAGAAAGAAAGCCTTTTCGACAGATCCCTTATGCCACCTGCAAGGAGGTTTACAGGATCTGTCGAAAAGGCTTTCTTTCTCCACAGATCCCCCTCTAGACGGCCGCTTTCTAGACAAAGTGCTGAGTCGGCAAAACGCGGTGGCCATTTTTATGCAAATTAGGCATGGAATATTTAAATCCCTGCCTCATTTGCAATGTCAACCTGCCTAATCTGCATCCCTCTGCCGACAGAGGGACACGGGATATTTAAATCCCTGCCTCATTTGCAATGTCGACCTGCCTAATCTGCATCCCTCTGTCGGCAGAGGGATGCGGTCTGGACATACCCTCTGGGCTGGCAGCATCCACGGTCCAGCATGACTTCAGTGAGCTGGATGTCCACTTGTCGTGTGTGGCCAAGTTTCCCACGGTACCATGAAGTTTTTTCTAACCACCAGTCCTGGCGTTCAATGTTCTGTGCTGTTATTTAGCTCTAATTTACCCCTAAATATATTCTAAGATCCCAGTAAGCAGTGGAAGTACAGAAAGGGGGAGAGGTAGACACGTTGGAGGGCAGGGAGAGGGTCCAGAGTGATCTAGACAAATTGGAGGATTGGGCCAAAAGAAATCTGATGAGGTTCAACAAAGACAAGTGTAGAGTCCCTGCACTAGGGACGGAAGAATCCCAAGCATAGTTACAAGCTGGGGACTGACTGGTTAAGAAGTAGTTCTGCAGAAAAGGACCTGGGGATGCCAGTGGATGAGAAGCTGGATATGAGTCAACAGTGTGTCCTTGTAGCCAAGAAGGCGAATGGCATATTGGGGTGTATTAGGAGGAGCATTGCCAGCAGATCTAGAGACGTGATTATTCCCCTTTATTCGGCTCTGGTGAGGCCACATCTGGAGTATTGTGTCCAGTTCTGGGCCCCCCATTACAGAAAGGATGTGGACGCATTGGAGATGGTCCAGCAGAGGGTGACCAAAATGATTAGGGGGCTGGAGCATATGACTTATGAGGAGAGGCTGAGGGATTTGGGCTTGTTTGGTCTGCAGAAGAGAAGAGTGAGGGGGGATTTGAGAGCAGCCTACAACATGTTGAAGGGAGGTTCCAAAGAGGCTGGAGAGAGGCTGTTCTCAGTGGTGGCAGGTGGCAGAACAAGGAGCAAGGAACAAGAACAAGGAAAAGTTTTCCGTTAAAAGCATTTTCGGAAAGCGTGTCTAGATTGGCAGGACTCTTTTCCGCAAAAGCACTTTTTGCAGAAAAGCGTCCATGGCCAACCTAGACGCACTTTTCCGCAAGAAAGCCCGAATCGCAATTTTCGTGATCGGGGCTTTTTTGCCGAAAATAAAACTCTGCTGTCTTCACTGGGCCTTTTGCACAAAAGTTTTTCGGAAAAAGACTTTTGCCCGAATGGGAGCTGCATAGTATTTCCGCAAAAGCACTGACAATCTTACATGAAATCGTCAGTGCTTTTGCGGAAATTCAAGCAGCCAGTGTAGACAGCTGGCAAGTTTTTCCGGAAAAGTCTAGACACAGCCAGAATGATTTGAACCCAGACAAGTCTACCATTCCTTCAAGGTATGTGGGGCATGGAAGAGGACTGAACCAAGAGAAGATAAAGAGTAAAGAAAGGGAAAAAGTGAATCTAGTTGTGATCAGGGTAATTTTCTTTATTTTGTGGTGTGGTTTGAATTGCTTCCCTTGCCCATGCACCATCTAAGAATTGTTCCCAGAGATTTTCTTTGTGCTTTAATTTGTTTTCCTTTGTTGCGTTATAACACCTGCCAACCAAGTTTGCTTTCTCGAGTACAGCTTTTGTTAAAGTGACGATTTGATTCCTGTGTCCTAGAAGGTAACAACAGGTCTGTCTGCAGGCCTCAGACTGAAAGGACAGCTACCAAAGACTGCAGCTTGTTTTTCTCTTTTCTTTTTT